AGTAACTGACAACCCCCTGCCTGTGCCTCATGAATGTGACAAGAAAAGCAGACTTTAAAGTATTTTCCTGTTCTAGTCAGTGTTTTACATCTTATCCATTACTGAAAGTCTTTTACTCAACACATTTCCTTTTTTTCCTGAACACCAAATTCATACTTTAACCATCCTGTCACCATCTACAAAGACAAACAAACAGACTTCTGATCATATTGGAAGAAGGACAGTGATAACTGAAGTCTTACTCCAGGTGGGCTAATTTTCCATCCTCTGTTACATAAACAAAAACCAACCATGCAGGCTAGAATAAAGATAACTACAGAAGTCTTATCTCCTAACAACCTGAGAGCACAAGAGGTCGTCTCCCATCACACCTTAAAATCAGGGTTCAACTCTGGCTTTGCATTTTTAAGTTGTGTTAGTTTATGTCATCTGTGGTATGGGGATCTCCAATATGAGAATTTATAATGATTAATTTACAATTTCAATAACTGTATAATTCAATAATTTTCAAATTATTATTTACAATTTCTCCTAAAGTATGAACAATGAAAATTAACCCTAAAGCTGGAATTTTAAAGGCAGTGGTTTTCTTGCAGGACTCTGGAGATTTCAATGTAGGGGGTATCACATATTACAAATCATAAATCGAACTCGAAATAGCATATTTTCAAGACACACAGAACATTTTAGAAGGTTTAGTCTGTAAATAGTGTGCTCCTCTGATTCTAAAAGCACCTGCTATTAATTCTCAGGATGATAAAACCATGAAGCAAAGCAGTTGTATGAAAGCTTCATGCTGCTAGAAAATCCTTAATACTGCACCCCCCTCAGCAAACAAATAGATTATTGTAAAATATCCCTTTTAGTTGTGTTTAAAAATTTAAGTGGAAAAACTACAAGCATGCTCTGCCTCTGAGACAATTCACTAAAAGTACTAGATATTTTTCCTGTTCACAGCCACTGCCTTGTGTGTTAGGCGCATGACAGCAGATAAGAACAGGAACATCCATTTTGGAAGAAAATAGTTTGGCCCAGTTGGTAAAACCTAACTCACTGAGAAAGAAACAAACAAATTTCAAATACTGCAATCAAGTTGCTAGTCTCAGGTTTCGCACTTACAGCATCCTTGCTCATCTGAGCTGTCACTGCAGTCCAGGTTGTGATCACATTTCTTGCTTTTCCCAATGCACTGCCCGCTGGCACAGCGGAACTGATCGGTTAAACAAAGCACTGGAGAGAGAAACCCCCCCCCACACCAAGACTCAGTATCAAAGGTTTCTATTCTTTAAAATGATTTAAGAAAACAAATCACCACGGCATACAAACAGGAGCATCTTGGAGAGTTCGGCCCGCTGCTAGCTTCGTTTCTTGAAGCAGGTGGCAGCACATCAGGGTCCCTCACACCAAGCATGCAAAAATGTGATCCAAAGTTCTGGAGAAGGTACCACAGTGGGAGCCTTCTCCTTTTTGCCTGATTACAATAAGGATGCTACCAAATAAAGTTACTTGGCTAGAACAACTCGGAAGCAGAAGGTTACTGAGACTACAGGCACTTACTCCAGAATGCACTTTTTAAAATCAAATTATCATAAGGAACCCCAGCTCTAAACATTTACTGTAGTAAAAGAGAAGAGTTAAGTTATTAAAAATAAATCTGCCAAGGCATGAAGATAAAATAGTTTAAGAAAGACAAATGCGATTTCTCAATGCCCTTACGCTCTACATGTAAACCAGAAAACTCCTTGATCATGGAACAATATATTTCACTTGACATAATGTTTTAAAACTGAAATGAAAGACGGAAGAGAAGCCTGGAGCTTTGCCAGTGCACTCACAAAATAAACTATTACTTTGTGAAAAAAGGTGCTGCAGGCAAGGTGCTGGCTGCTGTTTACACATATTTTGCCTCCTGTTTCACGTAAACCCAGAAATTACTTCTGACTTCAGTTAAATTAAAAACGTAAAACTTAAAGATGTTTGTGATGTGTAATCAACTTGAACGCTCTGAATAACAGGGCCACTTTGAAGGAGACAAACAGCCACTGTTCTGGTATCTTTGGTCACTGGATGACAACTGGGAAGCTAGCTTGCACAACCCACTACCCGATGTTAGCATCCCATCTGGCTAATGATCTCTGTTTGTCACAGGGATTTTTGCATCAGCCTCTATGTTTTTGTTTAAGCTGAAGCATATCTTTTAGAAAGAAAATCGACCTTGATTTAGACCCTCAGACAGTCTCTTCAAAGAAAGAAAATGTACCAAAAGGCTGAAGCAGAAGCAGCATCCCTACAGCTTCCTACTACTTGTACAGTAGGAAGAAGGAGGGAGACCTTGCTGCTGTTTCACTTGATTTAGTGAAACCTGTGCCATATTGATCCTTCCAAAATTAAAAGAATATAATTCACAGCATGTTGAATGCTCTGTCTTGCTGTAGCTTACAGAAAGAAGAGTTCTTCAGTAATCTCATCTGTGTCTCACTCCCACTTTCACATAACCTTAACTTCATTTTCTTCAGGTATGATAAAATAAACCCAAGACATTTATTCCGTATAAGATATCCAAACAACAATGGCAAGAATTTGTTCCACTTTTGTAATTGACTCCAAAGCAGGCAGTTTTTTACAGCTTAAAAATTAACAAAACTTTTAATGGTATTTTTCACAAACAGAGCTTCAGCCCCTGTGCTGTAACTTGGCATTATCTCAGTTTTACAGGTGGAGAAACATTAAGTGCAGAGCTGTGAAACTACTTCCCATTCAAGGGGCCAGTGACAAAACCTCCAGAAGCTCAGATCCTGCCAAATTCTACCCCCAGCAATAACCTCAGTATCCACCACCATCCCCTGGGGCAGCTCTAGTCTCATCATACTCTGAAACCTCCTCTGTACCTTCACAGTTCTTCTCATCCGAGTTATCCTGGCAATTTGCTTCTCCATTACACCGGAGGGCACTGTCAATGCACTGTCCGCTTTCACACTGGAACTGGGCCTCCGAGCACACGGGGCAGTTCTTTTCATCACTGTGGTCTTCGCACTCGGTGAAACCGTCACAGCGCCAGGCCACGGGGATGCAGTCAATCTCACCTGTGAAACAGGTGAACTGCTGAGGGGAGCATGTTGGTGGTTCTTTAAAAAAAAATCAGGCAAACAGACAGAAATAAAAAATACAGGTGAACAAACAGCAGATCAGGACAGGCAAGGACAATAAGAGCTCGGCCGCCCCACAGATGTGCCACGTCACAAGGTGATGTCCCCCCACACCCCGCACAGTCACGCGAGTCGTTCCTGAGCCCCACGGGACTGACACAGGCTCCTGATAATGGGTGCTCGGTGGACAAGCAACAGCAGATGCAGAAATGTGCACACTCAAAGCACAGTTCTTTTTCTCCCTCTTTTTTCAGTCTTGTAATACCATTCTCTTAGGCTGCAGTAGGTCTTCATTGTCTGTCATTTAAAGTCAACATGCTTTTCTGCTACTTCCCCTTTCCCAGAGCACAACTACATGCAAAACTGAAGGCTCACTTTCTTTTCAATGTTCAACAGTAATTGTATAGAAAACATTAGAAGGATGTAATGTGCTGCAGATGGATGCACAGTGACTCAATGTCTAGTTATGTGCCCTCAAAAAAATCTGTTCAGTCAGAATGCTTTTAAAATGACAAAAAACCTGCTCCATCTAGTCAAGTCCTGCTATCTCAACACAGCTGTTAGCTGTTACTTAACATTTACTACAGTAACTGCTAATCTCATGTAGTAAGCGTGCAACCCTCCCCTTACTTCCCCCCGCCTTTTTTTTTTTTTTTTTAATTTTAAAAACACTCATATCCTCCATTCCTCCTCCCCTTTTTTTGGCCTAGTACAAAACTTGCTGAGAAAATATCTGGATTATGTTAGCTCTTGTTCCATTGTGAGACCACACGTCGCCTCGATGGCGAGAAGGTTGCATAATAAACCCATTCAGCCTGGTGGCCCAGAGAGACCCAAGCACCAAAGCGTCTCTGCTCTCCCGCGTTTCATCTCCACCCTTGGAGCTGCCGGGGTGCGGGCTACGGCGGCTGGATCACCACAGAGGCGGCAACTTGCACTTCTCTCTAATTACCCCTTCTGGGATCGCAGTTCACAAAGACGCACACAGGGCGATTTGAGAAGGAAAGCAAAGAATAAGCAAATGGTGGAACATCCCCAAAGATGAGAAGCTACCGCGATTTGGAAAAGGAGAATGTGTAATGCATATGACACAATTAAAGAAAATCAAATTGAAATAATTCAGTGCTCTTAAGTAGAAAGGGTGAATGGAAGCCCTTATTTAAGATAATGAAATTTTCCTTGTCCCTTATCAGTAGTTACAGACTTAGTTTGGGGCAAGTCAAAGAGATGAACAGGTAAATAGTATGTTACAGTGGCTGGTACACTGCCACATGCTTTCTGCTGTGAAGCCGTCCCTAAAGACGGCAGCATAGAGCCCACATGAAGCCCCTATCAGAAGTGGAGAGCTCAGTGAAACGGAGACTGGGAGGGACTTACCTCCACAGGATAACTCATCCTGCAGCAGGACAAGGTGGACGGGGCACGAGCAGCGCGTGGTGCCGTCGCCTTTCACAATGCAAATGTGTGAACAACCTCCGTTGTCTTGAGAACAAGGATGCAGCCCTGTGATTTTAAAAATAAGACAGATGGTACAATTGCAATCATATGCTGGGGGTGAAGAGATGAGAACCTGAGGGGTTGGGTTCCCCTTTCCTATTTCAAAATGCATTCAGTAAACTTGGTAAGCTCACTGACAAGAAACCCCACATCTTTTCAGAGATTTCTTTGGGCTCACAGGGCTCCCTTTCCTGAATCTTTTCCCACTGCGGACAGCCATTAGCATCAACTGCTCTGAAAGGGAGTGTATTTCTTTTTTCCACACACATCAGTAATTATCCATGATCTGAAACACTGTGAGAATTGTGCCATGTGGTCTTCTAAAACAGTAAACTAAACTCAAGAGTGTTTGCTCCTTGGGTGCAGTGGAATATGTTATTGCTGCTATTCTTGCTGTATAACTATTAAAAAAGATGCCTTGCATTCTATACTTCATTTTTGCTATCAAGCTTCATTAAAAAAGTCAGCTTTTCAAATTTATAAATTCTGAGGCTTTCGCACTGTCTCCAAAACTCAAATTAACACGCTCTAGATAAATACATCTCTTCATTTTAATGTTTAATAAGGACAACATACTTTTGGAACTCCTGACAGATTTACTGAGACTAACAGCAAACAAAACTAGTAGTAGTCTGCACTGATGCTTTAATTAAATATCCCCAGACATTTTTCTACATATTTCTCCAAGGCATGCAGCACAGCCTGCTAACCAGGCCTCTTTCTTCTATGATGACTGCAGCTCTGCTGTTTTAAACATTCAGCTCCCCATCAATTTAATAAACAGATGGAGGGGGAGAAGAGGAGGGATAAGAGGGAGGTTATATCCTGCTACAGAGTTAAAAGCGCAGACTTGAGCAACACAATTGGTGGTTTTCCATGCACTACCTTTACACCGTTCAGTGTTGCTCATTTGCCATCTACTTTCAGTGCAACTTGTCACTAACAAATGTTTCACTTTGCCTTCACAGCTCTGCAGCCAGGATTGTCTGTCCTTTGAAGCCTTTACTACTAGAGACAGGCCCTGAGCTGTGCTTTTCTAAACAGAGTAACCATCTACTAGCTACTACATCACTACCTTACCACAGGCATAATCCCAAAAATCTCTAGCAGGAACCAGAGGCCATTTCCCCTGTGCCCATGCGCACACAAATCCCAGGCGTCTCTACCGGTTGTGTGATGTTGAGTTTGTTACAGGTTTCGTATCCATTGCCAAGCGTGCTGGGTAAACAAATTTAATTCCACTCAGGCAACACAACAGACACAAACTGATACCAACGGCTGGCCCCTTGGACCCGTGCTGACAGCAACCAGCAGCAAAGAGAAACAGCCTCCCTCTCTGCGAGCGCTGCCTACCTCTAGCGCCACAAGCTCCGCTCTCCCGTGCAGACAGGCATTGCACTTACTGTATTCCTGAACGTTGAGCTCTTTAACAGCATGAATGTCACTGAGTTGAGCGATACGAGCTTGCACCTTCGTACGTCCTTCTCGACCCGTCATGTCGATCTTCTCAATCATCTGCTGTTGCCTGTCGATCCAGTACAGCCAGTTTTCAAACACAGTGAGTCCCACAGGCTGCAAGATATTAGAGTCTTCCAAAACTATTCGGTTGGCACCTGCATAAGGAAAAGAGTGGTTAAACTCAGATAGATACTAACAATAACCATTGTTTACACTACTTACACCATTACTTTATTACACTTATCTACTATTTTTGTACAAGTAACCCAGTGCAAAAACAGAAGCAATTCTCGGTCCTCCTGTTTAAAAATCAACATCTCACAGCCAGGTGACTTTTTTTTTTTTTGAACACTACTTTAATCAGGAGTTTTTGTGCTCCAAATATATTTATTGCATTTTAGAAACATCTGCACTGCAGATGTTAACTGTCGTAAGACTATCAGGTTACATGACAGCCAATTATTCAATTAAGTTTATCAGAAAACAACTGTTTTGTTTTGGCGTACAATGGAAAGTAAGAAGATGCATTCTCAGTCTGAGTTAACCAACACAGGATAAAATCCTCATGGAGACAAAGAAGTGGGTACTTTTCACATGAATGATGAGACTAATACTTGACTTCGCATATTCTTCTATTTCAATTGCATTCACTTTGTTGTTTTTCGTGCTAAACTGGGAACACTCCTTTATTCCAAGTGAAGACTATTTTCTCGAGCTCCCTTGGCAACAAACAGAACTTAGTCCTCACCTCAAGGCAAGAATATTTGCTGACTTTTACGAGAGATTAAGTAGCATAAAGTATAGTCAAGAGCTGCTGTCAGATTTCAATCACATGCACAAAAAAAGGCAGCCTCTATCTGTCCTAGAGCTATCATTACAGATTGTCGAAAGATAATAAAGAGTTTAAAACTCACGTACAAAAAAAAAAAAATTAATACCTAGGAGCATAAAATTCAAGTTTTTATTTATTTTACATGACAATTACTAAAATTATTTTAAAAAACAATTATTAAGTTCATCAGATTCTTAACATAAAATTAGTTGCAGACATAATGATTTTGCTCTAATCGTGAAGATTTTGAAATGTGCCAATTGTGAAATCTGAATTTTCCGGCTGTAGCCTAGTTTTACATAAAAGTCCTAGTATTTCATATATCTGGACCTCCGTTTTGCTTATTTTTACTTTTACTATAGCAGGCAATAGCTTTACATATGTTTATCCAGAATAAAATCTCCTATAACTTACTGTATTTTGTCCTGTGAAAATGCACTAGTATAGCAGAGCTCAAAAATTTATACCACATCTCTACCAGGCCTGTAAAATATATTGTTATGGGACAAAAAGATGCATCTATTCTACCAGTTTGCAACCAGAGCAAGTTATAGTCTCCCAATTTGATGGAAAAACAAAATCAGTTTCTGACCTGCTGACATTTAATTGACAGTATGCAGATGATTATGATTTATAAACAAATTTACCTGTGATAAATTTATTTAGCTCCTTTATATAAAAAATGCACTAATAAATTAAGTAACCTTCCCAACATTTTGCAAATAGAGCATCCAAAGTAGAACATGGAAGTTCAAATTTTAATCCTAAACTAGACTCTCACCCACCAATCTGGAGCACCAGCAACAATGATCTGATGCGGAAAAGATGTTGATGGATTCCCAAGGAGGCCATACCCAGACCGGTGTACAAATTAATAGGCTGAACGATGTAAGTCAAAGCAAATGACCGTAATGGTGTTCTAACTCCAGTGAACATGATTCATCTAACAGAGAAAAGTTAAGAAACAGCTACCTGTATCTTGAGGAGAGCTAAGGAGGGAGTAGGAGGATATGTGAAGATGACACAAGAGGGAGGGATAGAGTTTAAAATTAAGACCTGGACCTACCCAAATGGAGGCTGCACATGCCCTGCTCTACCATGCTCATGTCAATCAGCATGGCATTCTGTAGTATTCCTCATAAAACTTGGATGTTTAAAATTTTTACTCCCTTAATGGCTTCATCTTTCTTTCAATATTGGTGACCAAATGTAGCTGACTACTTCTGACTAAGCCAAGTCACTGAATTTCCTCTTTCCATGAACCAACAATAAAACCTGAGGCTGGCTCATCGGGGTGGTAGTCCCTTTTACTGGGAACTACACATGAAAGGGAAATGTGATTGAGAGGAACTTTGTCCATTGACATCTCCATTCTCTTTTCAGCAATACCTTTTACAAAAAGGCTTAAAAACAAACAAAAAGAATAGGACGCACACATAGCACATTTTATTTCCTAATAAAAATGACTTTGTTCCAGAACCATTAGACATTTCCAAATCACACTAATTATTCTGGAATAGAAGACTAATTTCCAAATAGTTTCAATGGTAAGGAGCTAATTCCAATCATCTTTTCATAACCAACCCCTTAATCATGTGACACTTCAATAGGATGTCCCATTTGGGCATTAGGGCCCATAACCGGGCCCTAACTGCATGCCTGAAGCACAGGGAGGAAGAGAGTGACTGCATCATATGAAAGGCATTTACCTTTCCTTCTCTTCACGGGTGGTAGCATCTACATGGGCAGAAGCAAGAGACATCGCGTGTTAAAGATAACGCGTAAGAAAAAAAAAAAAAAAAAAAAAAAAAAAACTCTGCCAGCAGAAACGGCCTATTAATCAGCCGTCTCAAGCACAGGAATGCACCTCAGCAGTCAGCAATTTATCATGGCAATTACAGCAAACTATTTCTAGTGCAAAAGCCAAAAAACAAGAAAGGTTTTGGAGAGGTTTTATTCATGTTCATGGAAAGAATGGTGAGCTTTTAGTACACAACATGAGATCCAAGAATTGTATCCTTTTTAAAGTGGAATTATTAAAAATGACTGAATTAGAATTTACCACCTATCTCCTTTTTTGCCAACAGATTAAAAAAAAAAAGAAGCCTGGTAGATATGGCATGCTGCTATGCCTCAGTCAGCTCATTCAGATCTTGGATGCAGGACAGTCTAGAACATCCCACCATATCAGGTTTTTCAAAACAATTCTGAAACATAGTATAAACGTTGTGATTTACACAAGCAAACAGCTGGGAGGTCCCAGCCGGTTAGGGGTCCTGAATCTGCCAGTGTCATGCCATGTGTGTTACCAAATAAAAGGACTATTTTGCTGGGACTATCTTGCTGAGCCTCAGGTACAGCTCTCTAGGAAAACTGAAAGAATATTTTCTCTTCCAAAAGCTTATTCTTGCAGGCTAAATATATGGCTGAAAAGCACACTGGAGTCAAAGAGACAACATGCTGCTACTTTGAATGAAGGTATCACAGCATCAGCGAAGCACATTATGAAGAACTACGAGATTCTTCCTAAGTTTTCAAACATTCCTACATAGCACTTATGCATGTACACAAACGTTTCTGAGAGCGCAGAGTAAATGCTCTGCTGAGGTACAAGGAGCCATACAACTCTTACCTGCAGAGGAAGGAGAAATTCTGCCTTTGCTCCCTGACTCACAGCATTGTCAAGGGGGCTGCACGCCCAGTGACACAGAACATAGACACGTGCGGCTTAGACCATTCTGTCTCTTCCTGCAGCAACATCCAGCGAAGCTGCATGCTACAGCTGATCTGAGCCAGCAACTCGCTGGATACAGCAGGTTAAAGAAAGAAATCTCTGTCTATATCAATATGACTGTATGATTTTGCCTACTCTCTTATCCCAACTTCTTATACTTCTGGAAGGAGTTTTGCCTTTTGAAATCAGTGAGATGTTAAATCTGCTCTACCCTTGTCACATATCTTCCCCTGAATAATAGATACATAAGTGGCCTGCACATCATCTGTTGTAACCCTACAGAATTTTTCCACTAATGGGTAACATTTTGCTTTGAGAGATTATTGCACCAAAACCTTTAAAAAACAACCCCTCTTCCTTCCCCTTTCCAAAACTAGAGGAGTTTATTTGTGAACTCACTTTGGGAAACTGCACAAAGCTATTGAAATGAGAAATTGAAGTAAAGAGCATATGCGGCAATTAATAATGTAAATCACAGATAGAGGCATGAGACTGAGATGGTATGCTGCATGAATCATGCACATTCTCTGGCTGGGAATTTAAGGACCGATTAGAATCACAGAACAGGCTGTTTATAGTAGGAAGGAAAAGGAGACACCTTTCTCTGCATTCCCCCCACACCCACACCACAGAAATGAATCACTGAATTAAAGTCCTACTCTACCTGAAAGGTCACTGCTTTCAATTCTCCGCAGGTCTGAATCAGCCCAGAACAACTTGCCCAGCTGGCTGTCAATAGCTAAGGCTATGGGTTTGCTCAAACCACTGAAAAAAAGCACCTCCCGTTCAGTTCCATCCAGTGCTGCTCTCTCAATTTTAGGAGATCTTTCCTGTAGGTTGGTGAAATACATGTATCTGGAAAAGAAAATAAAAGTTTGACGGATCTTTCCACATTTTTGTGGCATGACCAAGACAACTTAACAGAGATGCTTTTATTTCGATAAACAGAAACCAGTCGGCAGCAAGAAAACAATTTGATTCACAAGACCTTCAAGCCTGGCTTTCCCCCACACCACTCCATTTCAGCTACATACCCCTTCTCTGGATTCACCACGATGGCCCTGGGTCTATCTTGATCTCCTTTGAGCACCACTCCCATAGGTCTCCCATCCAGGCGTGTCACATTAATGACATTAGTGGCTTCGCAGGTCCAATAGATATAGCGGCTGTAGATATCAATGCTCAGGTCATAGGGTTGCATGTCTAGGTTCTGGTTGGGAACTGGACTTGTCACAACAGTGAGGCTCTAAAAAGATTAAAAACATCCATGAGAAGAGCATTAAATCAAGAGTAAACAAACAACTGTACACGGAAAGGAAAGCTCCGAAATACTACTCTACCACAGGAGATGGCCAGGTGCAGTTGACCCTCAAGACCACAACTAGAGATAGACACCCAGTCCTAATGGTCTGTGGTAAAGAAGATTATGCAAGGTGGTTGCAGCTTACAGGATTCTTCAAGTTTGACCAATAAGTCAAAAGGGTCTGTATATTAAAGACTGGTTCAACTTTGTTTCTTCTGCTGTCTTGACAATCCTAAATTCCATTTAGATGGACCCAAACCCAGAACATTTAGCTCTAACAGAGAGACTTGTGTCACCAATGATTTCCCGAAGCTGAACATTAGAAAAGATGTAAACACAGGCAAAATGAGGCCAGACAGGGCTTGAAATTCTTGCCTCATTCCACTCTATCATCATTGTCATTACACTTGGGGGAAATAATATACAGATGAATCATAAGTGGGAAGGGAACCTGGCCAACAGACAGAAAGGACACCAGCTAAGTCTGTGACTTGGACTTTATTACATTTCCGACTAACACCTTTCTGCTCAAAAGTTCTTCTCTTCTACTGATCCAGACCTCTTGAGTTCACACACTTTTACCAGAAAAACACTGCGAAGTCTCTCTGTAGCAAAAGGTGAACCTAACTAAATTAGCATAACAGACATCCTTGCCTAAACTTTTCCAAGAAATCTAAAAAAATGATAATTTACAAAATTCATCTTTCTGGAAAACCTGATGCTTTTTAGATGTCCAGTCCCCACCTTCCCACCCCCTCACCTCTCATATTAAACATTCACTGAAAAAATCTGCCTATTTTCTGGCTTGTAACTCCTAGGAAAGGGTGTGCCTAAAGTCCTGTATTTGTTTATTCTGCTGAAGTTGGCCAAAATATCTGGTGCCTTCAACTAATTTTGGGTGTTAAATTATCTAGATATTCCAAAACTAAAACCATTGCTAAATTAAGAGTCAAGGCCGAAGGGCATTTCAGCAGGATCCAACAAACTCGACACCCACTACCAGAAACAGCACTCTCTGAAGAGCTTAGCTGAACGTACTACCTCCATGTTGTCCAGCTTAGCCTCCTGCTCCTCCCCCATTCCAAAAATAGAGGAAGAAAAGACTTATTTTAAAATATGGAAAAGGAATAAGCAGTCATTCCTTACAGTTAACCTCACTAAGCCTATATTCCCTTTTTCCTTCTACATCACCATACTTTTTCTGCAGAATCAGTTTAAAAACTAATAAGTAAAGTTTGACCAGTTAAAGACCTTTTCACATCTCTTAGAGGTTCCTAATTTCAACTTTTGCATCGAGGGCCTCTGTAGCTGACAACATTTTTCTTCCCATGCCTGCCAGAACTTCAGAGGCTCTAGACAGCCATGCGCTCAGAGTCCCGTTGACTCATGTCAGAGTCAATGTCCCTGCACTTGGCTCATATGCAAGTCCTCTTTCAAACTCCTGACACACTTCATTTCTCCCAAGAATCTTCCATTCTGTTTCACTTCTTTCACCAGGGATTTCCAACAGCCCCTGGCCAACAAGCAGAATTGAGCAAAGAGAGCACCATTGACAACAGTACCTTTAATATCTTCAATGTCTATTATCCTGCAGCATCTCCCAGATTACTGCTTGAGAACAACTACTCCCCAAGACATTTTGTTTTGCCAACTGGCAGCTTCTAATCTAAGGAAATCCATCCATACAAAGTTCATCAATGTAGAACCCATCCATAGGTGGATATAAAGCATGCGCCACCCTCATCTTGCAGTAACTCCATCACCCACAGGATACCTGGCTGCCATCTTCTTGTGCCTTGCGGATGATATTCTGCCGAGAATCAATCCAGTAGAGCTGTTTATCCAGAGGGTCGTAATCGATGGCTCGCACATTCCTGAGGCTGTGGATAGGGAGTATAATATCCGGACTCTGCTGCTCATCTATCACCATGCGGTTAATCGCGTTCTTCTGACTGAACAGCAAAAAGGTTGTTGGAGCTTGGTGGGTTAAAGAAAGAAGGAACAGATGAAAAAAAAGAAAAAAAGGGGGAAGAGGGAAAGTGTTAGCAGAGTAAAAACTCAATCACTTCCTCCTCCTCCTTTTGTCAAACAGAGTAAAAACACGCACACAAAAAACCCATAACAGAACAACAACAACAAAGACTCTTCAGTTTGGAAAGCCTTTGAAGTGACCTTTTTTTACTATAAATGTTTGAATGTGGATTTAACTAGCCAATATCATTTCATACATCCCAGTTTAAATGAATGTGAAGACCTTTGTCAAAATTACCTTGCTAAATACGCTCTACTTGTGGAGAAAGTGGACCGAAAGTGAGCACTGGTTTCTTATGAGAGCTCACAATGCACAGAGATGGCCACTAAGGTAGTCCAATCCTGTTCCTGTAAACTCTCCTTCTGCCATCAGAAAGAAAGGACAACTAGAAAACTGCCTTAAGTGAGGACAGACTAGGTTTCTGGAGAGAAAGCTGTTCACTTTTCTCAGATTCTTCTTGAGTATTTCTAAGCACTCTGCTGGGATTGCTATCGAATGTTCTACTCCAGCTTTCCAGATGCCCAGCAAAATTTATTGGGTGAATATTTTTTCCTTTAAGTACTATCAAATGGTAAGAAATAAGACTTCCACACCCCACTCCGACATAATTTACCAGCTGCATCTTGCAGTTAGTGCACTAGGCAAGTACACTTAATGCCTCGTTAAAAATAAAGTTATGCCTGTATTACACAACTGGGTCACAAATCACATAGAGTAGTGAAACTATCTCCATCTTTTACAGATTTTTTTTTTTTACCCCACAATGGTCTATGCTGGAACCACTGCTGTGCAAAGCACCACAAGAGCAGCAGCTAGAAATGCAGTTTGCAGTCCCCCTGGCATTTGTATAATCCATTTTGTATAGCTCTGGTCTGGAGAGATTAGCAGCGGGACACTGCTCTCATTCAACCCAGCCCATAAAACAGGTAAGGCAGCACCTTGGGAAGGAGACGGAGCAGGAGCCTTCCACAGAACATCATCGTTCTGTGTTATTTTAGGCAGACACTTCGAACGCTTATTCTGGCTGCTGGAAAAAAAAAGTATGGAGGGGGGAAAGTTTCCTTGGCAACAAACTCAATCCTAACGTCCTATAAAAATCAGACCTAGTTGCAAGCTATTTTTGCTTTCCGGAAAACCTGCCTTTCTCCTCCAAGCATTTCTCCTGCAATTTAAGCCTTCTACTTAGCTCTACACTGTGGAAGGAAGTACAATAAAAGCAAACCAAAGTTTATACTGAATGTATACAGCAAAACAGTAAATTCATAAAACATCAGTTTTCTTATCAAGCAACTAAGAGAAATGCAGGGAAATAAATAGCTTAGGTTAAAACAAATAATATAGCTAAACATGCTTGCATAAGTGTTTAATATCTTTTCTGTTCCCCCCCAAAGACTGCATCTTGCTGTCTAAGTGGCACTGGCTTCCAACACTGAATAGATGGTACATTACAAAAAAGAGCAGCAAAATCTCCTCCTTCAAATTCCCCCATCTCCAAAACCAGCACTGATTCTGGAAACCACCTCGCAGTTTTCATCATTCTCCCTCCCACCACTCACATATTTTCACTGTGTTTTTGGAAGGCACACAGAGCACAGTGAACACGTCTCCAGAGGAAGGCTGAATTCAAACTTCAAAACACGCCGTGGGCCTGAAGAGCCAGAGCACTGAGTCCTTCCCGCAATTAGAACAAGCTATTTGCACACGAGAAGTCTGATCCAGAAAGGGAAGAACTGGCCTCTAGACAGGGCTCAGGCTGATACATAATCAAGCAAAACAGGCAAGAGAAAGTTGAAACGATTCATGCTCCAATTATAGTGGCCAAGAGAAAAATTAAATTATGAGCCGAGAAGCCTAAGTCTCCAATTACGTACAAATGAGAGGCTGGAAAGTTACCAGGTTGGAATATGGCTCCTGAAAGACTCTAAACTGCACAGGGGGAAAACAGTTCCATTTCTTTGCATTGTATTTGCTGTGCTTTTCTAGTTCCTTTGTTACCAGAAGAATATATCATCTTTTAGCATTTTGCTCCTTATTTTGCAGTGGAATTCAAATTCCTCCACCTAGAAAAATCAGACTAACCACCAGGGTGGTGCCAACTGTACTTCTAACTTGCTAAAAAAAGAGAGAATGATAAAATGCAAAGATATAGTTATCATGCAAGCATCCCTTGGAATAAAAAAGGAAAGCAATATGCAACATGGGGGAGATAAAAAGTAGACTTCTCCAAAGAGCAGAATTTTCAGAAAATTCTGTGAGGCATTTGTGGAGCAAGCAACCCTGCTCTTGGCTTTAAAACAACAGTTGGAGCTTTCTACTCACGCATAATGCAGAAGAGATACAATCTGTGTCTCTGTACCATGCATCTCTTAACCCACTGACTAATCTGAATGACACCAGTGGAAATCAGCCATCCAGCATGGCTGCCAAAATTATGAGCGCTTCACTGGCTGCCAGTTATTGAGAGATGGATAAATTATTTGGTTAGAAAATAATTACACACAGCCCGAGGGGCCCTGCGGTTTGTATTCTGCACAACAATGAAGAGAAGTGGGGCCTGGTTGCACCAAGATCAGAAATGCGCCATGCTGTGGAGCTGAGCCTCTCTTAGGCGCACAGGAAACCTTCTAGAGGCTCCAGCAGCAGCTCTGAAACACCGTCCACCTCAGCAACTCATCAGCCAGCAAACAAGAGCACTACAGAATTGAATCTTGACCCACCTAAGGCTATAAGAAGTGCACAGTATACACCAAACTCTCCAATATCCCTCTGCCAGGTGAAATCGGAAATAAGTGAACAAGCAAACAAGTGCCTAAGAATGTGGACAGATATGAAATGAAAAGTATTTCCAGTGTTCTATTTAAGCCAGGAAAGGGATTCAACAGATCTGTTTTTTTTTTTTTGTTTATTTTTGGTATCTTATAGGTATCTTACTTTTAACACCCTACCTTTGCTTAAATGTAGATAGGTTTTTACTGTTAAAAGCTTATGCTTCAAAATACATATTTGTACTGCCATATATATTTGGTCACATGCTTTGCTTCCCAAGGGGGAAGGCATGCTAGGAGAAGACAACGTTTTCAAACATACATTCTGTATCAAAAAGAAAAACTAGTTTTAACTAGGCCTCTCACAGCAAAGCAAACTCATCCATCTTATATAAAAAATAAAACTGTTCTTTTTTTCCCCTCAGGACAACACTTGCAACCATTGGCAAGTCTACCTGCCACCGTCACGGCTTACCACTGCAGGTCCTGTTGTCAGAGTTCAAGGAATAGTGAGCCGGGCAGCCGCACACGAAGCCACCAACAGGCACGGCCAAGCACAGGTGGGAGCAGTGCCCGTTGCTGGACGCACACTCATTCCAGCCTGCCTGCCGAGAGGAGTGGAAGACCAAGATGTCCATAACATAATCCAAGTGTCCTTGGATGATAGTTCGGTTCTGGCCACTGGTCTTGTTTGCTCGTTCAATGCTGCGCCGGCTCCAGTCCGTCCAATAAATGTAATCCTGATACTGGGTCAGGCCGAAGGGGTGAGGCAAATCGTCAGCGATGATCTCACGGTCAAGGCCTGGTTCCAAAAAGGAAGGGAGAGAAAAAGCAGAATTATTTGGGGATGCTGTTAGACACGTCCTCTATGCAGAAAGGTTAAAATATACTTGCTTTGAAGTTACTATTTAAACATTGTAAAAGTAAATTATAAAACAATGCAAAATTTACAGAAGACCATCCTAAAGCCTAAGAGCCCTTTCTCTATCCAAGACACACACTAACAACTCCGCTTGTCATTCACAGAACAGAACACTTAACTAAAGGAAAAAGCCCTCAGTTTTGAAAATCAGAGTTATTGGAAAGATCTTGTCCTTTGCATCCTCTTTGTGATAAACAGGATCTCTCTGAAGGAAACCTGGGATCTTGACACTGAATTCCCAGGTCACTGTCTCTGCCACCACTTCGCTCACTGCTTATAGAGCCAGAAATGAATACTCTTCATTGTATTATGAGAAAAAGTAAATGTACAAAGTTGAACTAATCTGTCTCTGGAATGCCGTAACAGGAAGGAGGAGTGGAAAACTCAAGACAGGAACCAGATAACAGTGTCTACCTCAGAAAGGCTAAGAGACCCTTAAAGAGCATGTTCAGAGAGGGGGAGATGAGAGAAGCAGGGGGATGAGGAAAGGACGATTTCAGCCAAGCACTTCTTCATTACCATGTGATGTCCTGGTGTGTGCTCTAAGAAAATGAGTGGAAGATTATGAAGAAAGAAATCATTCCCTTTTACAGAGAAGAAACACACTCTTGTGTGTCCTGCCATCATCAGCCATCGGGACAGGAAAGACAAAACTCTATGCATCAGTTCTAAGAGAGATGGTGGAGCATTGAGACAGACTCAATGGCACCTGGAAACCTAGGAAACCTTTTCTTGGTCTTTTTCCTATTATATATGATTCCTAGCAAAGCATTTTTTTTGTTTTATCTTTTTCTAACTTTGTCCCACAATCGTGTAGTTTAAAGCAGATGAACTCCTTTAGTCTGCTAAATCTTGGCTAGTGACAACGCCAGTCTGACTGGTGTGGCATGCAACACCACATTGCACTCCTGTGGCCGCAGCAATGTTCAAAACATGTTCTGGGCCAATCCTAGAGGGCCCAAGACCCCAGTACAGCACTTCTGGGATCCTAGAAGAATAACACACTGCGCCTCCATTTAGCTGTAAGGACTGCCTTATAAAACACTCAAGCGGGCCCTGATGTAAGAGAGAACTTCCCTGGTGACCAGTGGTGGCCAGGGAAAGCTCCATGGCATTCTGCATACTGGGAAAAATGCCTGAACCCTGAGGATACCAGAACAGATTAAAAACCATGCAGTATTAAATTACATAGTGAAAAGCATCCAATAAGCTGTTGTTATCTTGGCTTTCCCTCTACCTTTCTACAGATGATGAAGTGTTTGCTCTGTACTTGCCAATGCTCCTCAGAGCAGCAAAACAAGACTCTCCAAAACACTGAAAGTTGACAGATTTGTCCTACATATAAATGAAAACATGCACATCTTGTATAATTTTAACTTTGTGAGCAACTACATTGCATAGAAGAAAGTTGAGGCCTCACTGAGCTCTCTGTTGCATAAACATCAAGCAGAGAAGCAAATACTAAAGGCGTGAGAGTTTGTAGAAAATCTATTTTTGTCTTAAGATATGTATGTTTCATCAGCTGAGCAATACGTGCCTTAAGAAACTGTGAAGGGGCAGCACTATTTTTATGGCACAGCCCAGGGCTCTAGGACTCACCCAGCATGTTGGACGACTCTATCAGGTTGGTATCGAGGTCAGTCCAGTACAGTCGCCTTTTAGCATAATCAATAGTTAGGCCATTAGCACGTCCCACATTTGGTACCAAAGTAGTCCGCTCACTCCCATCCATAGCAGCTCTGTCAATCTTTGGCTTACCACCCCACTCAGTCCAGTACATAAACCTGATTAAAAGGAGACAAAAAAAAGAATGTTTATTCAAAAGCAGAAAAAGTCAAATAAAATCCTTAGAAAGAGTAACAGAAAACAAGAGCTACGAATTTAAGCATTTATTAGGCCCCACTACAGTAAATATTTATTTCATAACAGAAGCAGAGAGTCAGATTTCCTCAAAGTGCTTCCAACCTTACTTTTTTCCACTTCAAGCTGGATTTTCACCAGCATCTTTATTTATGAAAGCACTTCAGTCTTAACAAATCCACATCAGTTAGGATACAAAAAGCTGGCACTTGGGAAATTTCATTCATGCCAGGTCATTTAGCATGGCAGTTTTCATGCTACTTTGCAAGAGCTGTCTTCTGTTTCTACTCAATTTCCCAGCAAGTGCAGGAATAAAAATGGTAGGAATGCAGGGGTAGGCAGCGTGATTTGTTAGCGAGGTGTCACCATTCATCTCCACACAACTAATTCCATCAGCTGTATAGCAGAACACTGCACTTGCCACAAAACTGCATGCCATTTCCACTGGAGCAAACATGCAAATCATTACACATTCACGTGACAATTTAGCCTCATTTGACAGAAGCTCAGGCATACTTAGGTAGAGCAGACACAGATATATATTTGACATTTGATACCAAGCAATTAATCTCTTCTTCCAAGATATAAAGCTAACACCATTTTAAAAATGAGATATAGCTATATTAACATGTTAAGCTCAAGCTATAGCAACAAGCACACCTACTAAAGTTGGGAGGGTATAAGGGTAAAATAAAAACCAACCTAATGAAAGCATGGGACAGGCTGCTGCATAAACTGGTGATACAGGGTGGGTTATTCTTTAGCCACTAGAGATACTTACAAAGTTTTCTTTCTAGCACTTAAAAATTTTGCAAATTGGGCACAGCTGCAATCTAACTGTCCTAACTGCTTGCATAGCAGGGACGCCATGACAACATCCATACAAACTACAGCTACATAACACGGCTATAGAACAAGAAATGAAGCAGACTATTTGGCCCAAACCTAAATTCATTTTTTTTTTCCTTTCTGCAGTGAGGGGCCTTACTGTTGCTTGTTGAACAGAACAAAAACAAAAAACACCCAACATCCTCCTTGCACAAACCTCCCCACAATGCTATCCAACGCATTGTCCAGGCAGCCCCAGCACATGAGGGCTGAACCCCATCTCCATGTTCCCCTGGGGAAGGTGCAGCACCCAGATGCACTAAGCACTGAGACACCAGCCTCCCCTTTGCTGAATTGAAGGAGGCCTGTGTTTGCACGGCACTGCATTTTCTGCAGTGCTTTAACTCCCATGGTGTCAATGCAAAGGAGGATATATCGCTGTACTTGAAAATGAAGCTCTCATTTGTACAATAACGCAATATAGGTACCTCAAAAAGGTTTTGCAGTAATTAGTTAACACCAAATGAGCATTTCATGGTAATAAGAAGAGGTTTTTTTTTTTTTTTTTTTTTTTTTTAAGTTAGACAATTTCATATCCTCCCCCTCTGCTTGCCCTACTTTTACTATTTCATTTGAATCCAATTGAGAGGTTTCTTAGGAATTCTTTCATTGCAGGGAAAGGTGGGTATAATTGTTTCCGTTCTTCCTCTACCCTTGTCTCCCTTGCCCATACCAACAAAAAAAGGCTGCCTTATCTGAAGAAACAAACACCTTTCTTATTCTCAGATAATAAGCTTCATCCCTCACTTTCAAGTTAAATCATTTAATACCATTATAGGACCCTAACTTATGATAAAAAAAAAGCTTCATTTTAAAAGGACAAATATGGTTCTTTTCTAATTAATGAATTCCATAAATCTACAACTACTTTGATTCTGTGGCTAATTAAAAAACTAAATATAAATCTCTTTTTAATGAGCTTCTCTGATTTTTGTGTAGTATTCTTAACGATTATTCAGGACTTTAAGGGCATATTCCTCCAGGTTTCATGTGCTAAATTACCAGGTTACATTCCCCTGCCCAGTCCTCTCAGGATTTATATGCAATGCCTAACTAGCATGCCCAACAGTAAGTATTTGAATGCTATTTTTTCATCATTCATAAACATAAAACTAGATGGGCAGGTTACCCCTCAGCAGGGTCCAGCGCCAGCGCCCGGGGACTGTCGAGATCTTTCCACACCAACACCTGGCGATGTTGCCCATCCAGTTTGGACACTTCGATGCGATTCGTGCCGGTATCGGCCCAATACAAGTTCTTGCCTAGCCAATCTACCGCCATGCCTTCTGGGTAATCCAAGCCAAACTCTACGACGTGTTCCAGGGCACTGCCATTCATAAAGGCTCTGCTGATGGTCTGCAGGGACACAAAGATACACAGGCAAATTAGAAACTCTACCCGTCTGTCATTGGGCTGGCTGTTTCCTTTGTTGCATTTTAAACACTTTCAGATTTTAGGCATCTCACAGGAAAGAGGATCTTACAATATGCTACTTATTTGCAAGGCAAACAATGCAGCTATTCAGAAGGGATGATTTACTATACTCCCTGGAAGTATTTGCTGTGTCAATTACAATGGCGTTTCACTGGGGAAATCAATGGGACGACCAGCCTGGGTCAGGGAAGCAGCCTCCGTGTCAATGTGACCTTAGCAACTCTGTGCCAGCTCCGGAGGGGGAAAAACTTTGGCTCTCCGAGGCCTATATTTAAGCACGTATGTTATAGCACAGAAGAATATTTCAAAGAGCCTGACAAAACTGTTCGGGACAGACCAGCAAACAGAGGAAAACCACCAAACGGCCAAGCAGCTCAATAGTGCAAGTGCTTCAGAACTGATGGTTTAATTTAATTTCAGCAGAGATCATTTCTTCTTGGTCTTTTATTCAGAACACTTTTTAACTCTTTTTTGTCATCCTGGACTAGACTGTGAGAACAAATACAGTCAGAATTATATTTTTATAATACATCAGAGTTTAGGCATTTCCAGATTTACTAGGACCACTTTGAAGCCTGGAAGTCAAAGAACGATGTTAGCATGGTACAAAATTCTGCTTGGTAAACATGGGGTTCCTTTAAGTACTTTAATTTTCCTCCCCACACATATTCTTAACACATCAAGTTATCGCAAAGGTATATTTTTGGTTTATACCCCAGTTTGAATGCTGACTACCCACTATGCTAGTATGTGAGAGTAAACAGGAGTGAAATGCATATCTTTCGGTCTTTATATGTACCATCCTACAATCTCATTGGGGATTCCCTTCTTCCTTTTCACTTTAAACACTGTGCCTAAAAATGTAGCCAAGTTGCCATTCTCTCAAACTCAATCACTGTTTTTACGATTCTTCACTGTAAAGAGCCATCAATTATTGCTTATATAGCTCATTCCAAATGCAGAAAAGTTTTCTTTTGTTAAAAACTAATTCTTGGTGTTCACAGTTCTCACTACATTTACGGTCATGAAAAACAAAGCAAGTAACTCTGGGAGGAGAACACCACACAGATTTCTGTCACTGCATTAACTACCACTTTTAAACACTCACCCTCAACCTTCTCTGATTTGCCAGTGTAGACCCTAGGCCTATTTACAAAAGCCTGTGAGTCATAACATATCTCATGTGCAGTAGCTATGTAAGATAATGAATAGGTAAGACCTGTTTTCACTTCCTGACCCAAGAAACAGCTTTCCCCCATTAAACGTGTTTGGCAAAACATCTGTCATCCCCAAAACCTCCTGCCATATGGCCTTCTACTCAGGTTTCTGCTTTCTGCCAAAAAACTTGACTTATTATTTTTGCAAATGTATCCTTTATGTGAGAACGTACACATCAGATTTAAACAATCTATATGAGGGAGTGCTGTCAGTGTAATGAAAGTGTATGCCATTCTTTGTTCTTTTACCAGGTCTTTAAATCTTGTAAAAGATATTTGTCAATCCATTCTTAAGCATCTAAGAGCTTTTTAATAATAATAATATCAGATATGGAATAAACAAGATCATCTTTCCTCTCTACCTTCAGTGAAATGTCAGTCCAGTAGATCCGATTGTCTGTCACATCAAAATCCAGGGCAGAAGCCTCCTTGACTCCAGTGAGCGGAATAGCAACATTGTTGTTGTTAGTTTCTAAAGATATTCGTCTGATATCCGCTCGCCGAGAAAAGAGCAGGAAAGCTTCTGGGACAATGCAGGTCTTCATGTCACTGATGAGCTCTAGGCCGATGGGGCAGGCGCAGCGAAGGCCTTGCGGTCGGTACAGACAGAGATGACTGCAGCCCCCATTATCCTCTGCACAAGGGTTTGTACCTGCACATGCAACACAAGTAACAGCAATCACTGTGAACTGACTTCATCTGGAAGGTGAGGCCGGTTGTCACGCACATCAGTGACACTGAGTTCACTAAGACAGACACAAAGCTTTTCACCTTTGGTTACCCAAATTATTTTTTTCTTATAATCCACTAGACAGGCATTACTCTATGTGGCTGGAAGGCCAACACGTATTTTCCCTATTGTTTGAAACACACCTAGCAGTAGGGAGAGGGACCTGGGATCCAGAGCTACTGGACCTAATTCACAACACAAGCACTGAATCTAAGGTAAGTAAGTAGCTAAAAGGGAAGTTCTGCCTTCTTTTACAGTACAGTAGCCTAGTTACATACCGCCGCCCCAAGATGAGTTCCTAGAGTTGGAAAAGTTGCAGATCTATTTTTGCATCCATTCAATAGCCTCTTTCCTCCACAATGCCAATAAAAAAGCTCTTTGCAATACCAGCCTGCGTACACGCACATACTGGAAGTCCACCTACTAAGAGATGCCCAGCACCATCAAGCTAGGTTAGCTAAACAGTGAGAGAGCTTTATTTAAAATATGTACTGTAGGACAACTTGCTAATGTGCTAGCAGCAAAGTTGTACCCCAACTACATTTAACTTGGGGTCAATCTGCGGTACAATCCAGACATGGCAGCAAGTCAGCAACCATACAAAACAATAATTCACAGAATCACAGAATGGCTGAGGTTGGAAGGGGCCTCTAGAGATCATCTAGTCCAACCCCCCTGGTCAAGCAAGGACACCTAGAGCACATGGCATAATTCAGACAGTCTGATGTGCCCATGATGCTATAGTAATGCTGCTATCTGTATTTTGATAGTCAATTTAAAGCTAGATCCTGCAGGTTTTTACCACAGAGATTACAGGGCAGAAAGTACTTCTAGCTATTTTTAAAAACAATTTTGCAGTGTTCATTTGAAAAGCACGGAATAGACTAAAATTGGCTCATTCTGAGCTTTTGCATACTGAGAGCACATGTTCAGATTGCAAGATGAAAAAGCTGCTACAGCTGCAGTTTCATAAGCAGCTGGGCTAATCTAATAGCTGCTGTTAGAAAGAGATGGGCTCATTTTCTCTGATCCTTCCTCTCTGTTGACTGGATTCAGTGCTGTTCAGACTCATGAGCTGCTCCAGCTCCCTGTGTAGCAGAAAATTACCCCTTTATGGGAGGTGCTTGTTTGCTTTCTGCCTTGAATGTTATTTCAACTTAAAGAACTGAAGCAGTTTACAAAAAAATCACCCCATCCCATGAACTGCATCTTCCTCAACGCACTCCTAATGCTGAAGAGATACAAGTTACCACTGGGGGTGGGAAGAAAAAAAAAAAAAAAAAAAAAAACAGGAGAGAGGGAGAAGGACTTGGTATGGAGCGATGCCTATAGAAACTGAGTTGTTCTCTTATTTTGCTTTTTAAAATAAACCTGCCTATCATTACCAGAATTGAATGTAGTTGTGTCCGATGCTCCCAGAGCCCTTCTTCATTTCCTCCAACCTGCGCCTGCCTTGCAGTCCTGCTTACCAGTTATCTGCTGGACGCTCGTTGCTTTTAAGCCCATGAGGTCAGGCAGCTGGTCTATGATGATCTCTCGCTCCGCAGTCCGCTTGTGCACGCGCTCGATGCTGCGCCGCTGCCAGTCTGTCCAGTACACGTAGTCTCCCAGCAAAGTGAAGCCAAAGATATGCGGCAGCTTGTCCTCCACGAGCACTCTCCTCCCAGTCCCATCAGCATTCATGACCTGCAGGTACACGCATGCCCCAGCATTTGCATGAGAAATACGTCTCCATGCACAAAGACAAATTCTGCCACTGTTTATTGGAGATTAATCAATCGGCTGCTCCACATTCATACATTAAGCTCAAACTATCTCCTGGCCATTAAAATGCTGGCAGTGTTACCCAACATCTAATAAAACACATCTGTAGGTACTCATTATTATGAAAACCATCTTGTCCATAATACAAGCAGATCATAATGTGAGGTTATGACTGGGCAATCCTTACCATACATGCTTTTGGACTAATATTGCACGTACCTGGTAGATTGTCTGTCTCTGCTATTTCTCACTTACCTCTCTTGGTTCAGTTTTAAACGCGAGACACTGTTTTACACGGCCGAAGACAAGCTTACAATATTAGAGGAAGCCCTAGCCCAACATCACCAGTCCCAGTAGTCACCAGTCCCTCCCAAATCGGCTTTGCCCAGAACAAAAATAGCAGTAAGAAGCTACTCTTACATTCTGGGAGACAAAAAGAAATACAGAATATGTTTATGCTCCCAAGTCTGAATAAAGAACCAGTTTTACAGTCTTCAAATTCTCTTTTTTTTTGTACTAGAAGAAACACTAATGGTCTGTAAATAATTGTGTGCCTTTGATCAAGACACTTGAATTCACTGTGACACCTTACTGCTAGAAAGAAGGAATACCTAACTTCCTCAAAGGGGCACTGAAAGGATTAATTAAATATACACATACATGTTCAAGTGATGAAGTATCTTATGAATGTCAAGTATTATTACAAAAATTATCATACTGACAGGAGTGAAAGGAGCCTCCTGTTTTAAGAAAAGCTTACAAAAATGATTTAGCATTGCAATTTTAGAAAATTACTAAGCAAGAGATATGGAAAAGATCCTTCAAAGTATTTCTGCTTGTTTTAACTTTTTAGGAAATAATTTTGCCCCTATATGCATATTATCCTTCATAAAACAAAAAAAACGCTCAGTCTAAAAGTCACCCAAAATGACTTGATTCACAATTCAGAGTAAATACGCAAGGCAGTATACTAACCCTTGGAAGAATATCCTTCCCATTATCCAAGGACTTCTGATACACAAGTCATGGAACACTAGCAGTGACTAAAAGATGACTTATTAAATCTCCATTTTCAAATCTCTCTTACTTTTCCCTTGGTGGAATTAGATAGTCACAGACAAGCCTGAACATGGCTCAAACCTTGTGCAATGACAACCTTCAGGATCAATGGGTGCAGTAACTCCAGCTAGATGGATGATATTCTGTGGTCAGAAGAGTTTCCTAGCACATGAGAAAGGACGGGGCTAGTTTGGAACAACTCCCACGTTCTGCCTACCAAAGTTTGGGAGGAAAAAAAAGAGAGAGAGAAACAGGAATGAAATCCTTTCCTTCCTCAGCGCATGCTATAACGTGCAAGTTAGTTGAATTATTTCTATATTCACTAAAGAAAAGCTCCAAGACCAACAACTATACACTATATCATTTTAACTTCGGCCTAAATGAATCCCACCATAACCATCCTTGTGCTCCATCCTCTGTCTGCACAGCAGGGCGGGAGCTGAACCTTTGTGAGTATATCTCAGAGAAAGAGAGAGAGAGGCTCTGCCTCCTTGCTGTTTTATGAGTACAAGCTCCATATCTACTTTTTAAAAATTCATAGTTTTTCTGTGCAATGGGCCTTCTGAAAAAGCTTCTCTCTACTAATGTGTGCATCACATTTTTGCACATGCATAAAGTGAGCATCACTTGGTGCAATGTTTTTCTTTTCTACTGCTGTAAGATCTTCAAGCACAGTATTTGCAGCTCCACTTTGTATTAGGGCACACTTACCATCCTAACACTGTAGTTTATGTCCTTTATCTGGATAACCAACTCCAAACATTGTTTTTCCTCTCACAGATTGTTTAGCTGGGCTCAGAGCCCGGCATAATTGCCTGATTTTTGGACTTCCTTTAGAAAACAGGCTCTGCTATTACATTTATTCAGAACATTTCAGCATCTGCTGGCTCTAGGCTCCTAGCAGCAGGCCTCCTTTGTTCTGCTTGGAGGAACGAGGTTGCTACACAGCAGCCTAACAGTTAGCTTCAGGTTAAGGGACATAGCCTTAACACCTCTAATGTAAACTGTGACCTACACTCTTTGCCTCCACCATCAGCACTGAGCAAAGCTGACAGTCCCTTTGCTCACCACCCCTTTCTTGCCATAACATAGTTAGACCACATTTCTAGGATGACTTGACTCTCCTCTGCTCCCTTAAGCTATAGACATATGCCATTTGCTTGCAATTGATTCATATATGGGCAAGAGGATGGGTGAGGAAGACCAGGCAGATACGGCAACGGATGGGTCTTGCAAAGCAGATTGACTAAAAACACAACGTTCAAACCATTAGAACACTTGTCATAAAACAGTATCTTAAGATTTTATACTTTTGCCTTGTACCTGAAAAAGGAATCAACTTCTGTGTTCAGGCTACTGGCAGAAAATCATTATTTTGGAGCTGCACCACGTGAGGTGAACTACTTTTCTTGCTAAACGTTAAGTAGGGAGCTGAACAAATAAGCTTCTGCTTATTCTGAAAGAAAGCCAGGAGAGGAAAAGGGAGGATATAAGTGTCAATTTTGTTTTTTATGGATTTTTGTTTTGCCACATGCAGACTGTTTTGAAAGACAACCTTGTGCCAGACAGACAAAACAGATGCCTATCTGAAAGTACTTGCATCTGCCATCGTACTCCCATTACAATCTTATCTGAGTCCATCTATGTGATATTACTTAACAAAAACACCTGCCCACTAGGAGCTGGGCATCACCAATTCATGTCATATGAATAGTTCCATGGCACCACGTTGTCTGCACTTGTTTTGGCTGCATTTTAGATTTTAAAAGAATCTTATCAATCGGCTATCAAACCTAGCAGACTCTCTAAAGGCTGGCAGAAAGTGGCAAGGGATACAGGAATGATTCATGCAGCATGCACAAAGAAAAAGAAACAATCACTAATCAACCCATTCCAAAGGATTTGGGCATAATCTTTTCACATACTGAAATTCAGATAACAGCTGAAATTCAGAGTTCCAGCTGACAGGGCTTTACGCAGTCGCTGCCCTGCTGCAGCCCCAAATCCCAGGGAAGCCCAACCCCTCCGGAAGCCCATCCGAGAAACCCGCGTCCTGCTCCGAGCCAGCGGCTCCCGCCGCTCTGACCGCAACGTGGTGCAGCTTTCACGGTCTGAGGCCGCTTGGAATACTGCAAACCACAGTGAGAATACAGACTGCAACAAAAAACAGATGTGGCCTAACCACAAACCCTACCTTTACTGAAAGGGTGAGCAGCTCCACGAAAAATAAAGCAAAAGACAAAAATTGAGAGCACTTGGAAGCAATACCGAAAGCCCTGCCTGATGGATAAAGGCCTGCCTTATCCTAGAACAATAATGAATACAAGACTATGGCCTCAAAAATATATCTTTTTCAAAATAAATGAATTAATGCTGAAAATGTGGTCATATTTCACAATGTTGTATTTAGTGGTCAGCATTAACAATGAAAAAAATAATAACTAACTTAATAGCATAATTTCTATTCTATTTAAAACTAAAGACTAGATAGCAAGTCACATATATATTCTATGGGTCTTGTTGCCAAATACCCGGGATTCAGTTTACTCTTGAATGCCCACAGTAAGTGATAAATGGGTTAATGTGGCAAATTTACCCGTTCGATAATCTGGGTTTTGAATGTAGAGTAATTTACACTTGTCATTTGACTGGTTTAAATCCACAGTTCAATCATTATAACTGTGAGGAAAACTCAGCTCTGATTGGGGCTGGTACAGTGGCCCTGGTGAATTTAGGTAGAGCCCCAAACAAGAGCAGCAGTTTATTCAGGTCCAGAAATCAAGGCAAATAGCAGCAGAACCAGGAAGTTGCATACTAGCACATATCCACAGCACTGAGAAAACGCTAACAATAGAAATTGCCTGTCCGTACGAGGCCATACTTAAATTGACATTAATAGGTGCTACACAATCTCAATATTTGAGACTCCAGAAGAAGACAGCAACACAGGCCCCAGAAGGAACACCCCTTCCCTGGCAAATTTAGGAGATCGTGTTAGACCAAGCAGATGTGATTTACTCATAATTAACCTAGTGCCATAAGCATGGTGTCAGTGTGCAAACTGCTACCTTTCGTCTTACCTTATGAGCAGGGCTTAGTTTAGGATGTGGTTATAAATAACCAGGGAGCATTTAAATGTCAGACTTGCTCAGCTGTCTCTCAGAATGACTGGAGAGAGACAGTAATTGATGAAAATTTATAAGAACGGGTAACTATCTTTAAAAAAAATAAACATGACTTAAAAGAACTGAATAGGCCTCTGTGATGTACTGAAAGTCAGTGGCTGCAATACTGAATGATGACAAAACTTTACTTTATTACTACCATCAGTAAAATAATTATCCAGCACCAAAAAACCTCCCCTCACTCCAAATCCACAAACTGCTCCAACTTCAGATAAAAGCATCTTGCCACAAAACATAAGGAATAATCTGAACATAAGCCATGATTTTAAAAATTAATACCCAAATATTGGTAATTAAACAACAAAGATCTTAGCCTTCTACTGGCTCCTTCAGGACCCTTTACGGCTTACTGGTTTCCAGAGAGATGCAGGACGCCCCACTTAATGTTCAGAACCTCAGGTGTCCTGCTCCAATGTTCCCACTATCACTGTGCCGGATCCACGGCTGCCTAGCAGGGAACACAGCTGGAAACCATCTCTCCCCAGATCAAAAGGAGGATGAGGCTGTAGAGCTTATCTTCCTTCTGGAAGAGTAAGGAAAAAGAGAACACTGGGACTCCATAACAAGGCTTTGCGTGTCCTGTGGCCTTGCCCTATGGAAAAAAAAAAATTAAAGGACGCTACCGTGTTGTTTCATTTGTACATGTTCAAATACATTCTCAGATACAGCTATGATTTA